CAGCTGTTCAGAAGGCCAGGATAAGACCCATATCCTCAGGCACCCTGTGGTGGCCTAAGGAAGCAGTTGAGGCATTTCTTTAGGAAGCAGCAAAGGTGCTGCAGTAGATCATTGTGCCACATTGTCAATCCCTTTTGTGTCAGGCTTGATGGGAGCTGTGGTTGCCAGGTGGCAAATCACAACTGTGAACTATGGCTTCAAGCTGTGCCAGGGGAGATTTAGGCTGGATGTTAGGAAATACTACTTTTCTGATAGAGTGGTCAGGCAGTGGAATGGGCTGCCTGGCGGGGGGGTGGGGGTGGTGAAGTCACCAACCCTGGAGGTGTTCAAGGAACGTTTGCATTTTGTGTTGAGGGATGTGGTTTAATGAGAACTATTGGTGACAGGTGGATGGTTGGACTGGATGATCGTGAAGGTCTTATCCGACCTTGGTGTTTCTGTGATTCTGTGAACTGTCTTCAGGGCTTTGGGGGAAGGGGGGGGGGGGGCAGGGGCGGGAGGGGCGGGAAACTTGTGCCCATGAGCAGACAAGTGCAAGACTGCAGATAGTTGGTGGTGGCAGCTGTGGTGCTGGACACACCTGGCTGTGTGCCCAACAGACTGAATTGCTGCCCCAGCATAGATTTCTGGCTTATGCTGTGCTGCTGCTGAAGCTGGCATCAGCCTGCTTAATGCTCAGGAACAGGTCCATGTCGTGGAGCTGTACCCTAAACATCATTTCAATGGAGGAAGTGGTGAGCTCAGTCTTGAAGGAGTGGTGAGAGGGCGGCACTGTCTGGCAGCAATCATGCAACAGGCCTCCAAGCTGCTGTTACCTGGTTCTGGAATTAGTGGGTGGTTTTCCCCACATGCAGGAGCCCTCGCAGAAGATGTCTAAGTGGCTGGGCTCCTGCTTCACTCTCAGCTTGCTCTGAGTGTGGTGGAGAAAACACAGCACATCCCTTAGCAGATGCTTCCTTGTGAAGGTGCACTCCAAATGGAGGCAGGACTTCCTTGCTGGTATCTCCTCTGTGGTTGAAGACTTATCTTGGGGGAGGCCTCAGAGCTGTGGGCAGGCACACTTTCTTCATGGGCACTCTGTCCTTCAGACACAGGTCACCCTAATGTCTTGCTGAAGCCAGAGTGTGAAGCTGTGGCAAGAAGCATCCTTGGCAGGTCCAAAGATGATTGTACACCAGCTGTTCCACTACTTGGCACTTGTCAGCCATGTACAGTACTGGCCACGATGTGCTCTTGGCCCAAACTCTGCCCACGTTGCTTTTCTCATTGGAGCCATTGTCTGCCTCTTTGTCCTTCTTGTCCTCCTAACCTGGGGAACTATCCTGCTTCCTGCTGCTAACCAGCTTATGTCTACTTCTGCACTACTGTGCAGCAGTAGTGACAAGTAAATAAACTATGGTAATGCTATTCTTTTAATATACCTGCTCTGTACAAATTCTTAAACTTGCTTATCAGATTTGTTTATCCTTTAAGCTGTATGCTTACTGAAATTCAGTTACATAAACTACAGACAGCAGTAGCGATGCTAATTTTAAAATACAGAGTTACTATACAACTTTCAAATACGTATTTTTACAAGGTTTCAGAATCATGGAATCAAAGACCAGTCCAAACCCAGGGTGGAATGGATCTCAGAAGATAATCATGTCCAATTTTTTTTTTTTTTTTTTTTTTTTTTTTTTTGAGAAAAGGGGCCTTTGAGATAATCTAGTGCTCTGTTCAGCCACATCTTGAAAACCTATTATTGGACTCTTTCAAGATGAGATGCTAGACAGCATGCTAGATAAGTGTCCCTAGGGAGGTTGTTGTTATTTATGGAACTTACCTTTTCAGCTTGATGTTTTGGCAACATTTAGTGGGGATTATACATGATTTTACTGACAAACTTTACCTCTTTGAAACAATTCTACAAATAGTTAAGTACTGTCATAGCAATTAAGTGTGACTGATCCTGCAGCTGTTCAGACTGGAGTAGCATGAAGAAAAAGCTGCTTCTTCTGTTCTAGCACTCTGCCCTGCTGTTTTGGCAGGTTTGGCATTTACTGTGTCTTTCGCTAGTCCAACTTGATTCAGTAAAAAAGCAGAAGAGAAGTTTAATTTATCTTTTATTTGATTATATGTTAAATCAGTGCACAGGTGGGAGGTGGGTGAACAGGATTTTACCCTCATGGCAGCCCTGAGTGTTTGAAATAACCCACTCTGTGTTGCTGAGTCAGAAGCGTAGGCTTAGAATTCTGTTTCAGTCTATTCTAAGTAACGTATAACTTAAAATTAATCTGGAAAGGCTGAATTTTTTAATGATTTCTGTTAGTTTTATCTTACAAATGGGGTGCTGCTGACTATATCTAAACATAAATGCCTTTTAGTTAGGAAAATATTGCAAGCAGGTTAAATATTCATGGAAAACACTCTTGCTTATGCTTGCACTGCTAGTCAGAAAGGCTTTTTTTATGTTTATACACCTTATGTGTGAGCTTTAGTGCTTCAACCAAATATTGACATTTGGTTGAACTCTAACAATGAACAAAGTTACACATTTGGTTATTCTTCATGGTCAGTGTTTTAAACTACTTGTAACTTGTAGTGAAACTGGAACACAACATATGCAACAAACCAGGTATCTTAGATCAACGTTTTTACCTTATTGATGAGAATTTATAGCACTTGAGAAATGAATTCTGGAGTTTGTAGCAAATAATTATGCATGTTTAGGAATGGTTGGTGGTAAACTTCAGTATCTTTTTGTAAACAAACCGGAGAAAAAGCCTTGAGTGTGAAAAACCTTGGAAGATTCCTAGTTGTCTTATTTTTGAAAGAGATTTCAAAACTTGTAAACTAATTTTTTTCTAATGTTCCTACAGCAATGTTATATGCTATACATAACATTTGAGTAAAGCTGTCTTCTAATACTTGTGTAAAAAAAAAACACCAAACAAACAGAGGAGTTTGGAATTTGTAAATAATGTATAATTTGTAAAATGTTTGCAGAAATTGTATTTGAAATGACAGTATTTTTATGTATAAATAGCACAGCAACAACTGTGAATGATGTTATAACAGTTAATTTTTAAACATGGATAGCAATGTTCATACTTGTGTACAGTAAGCAAAATGAATGCCTGTTACTGATGCCAATGAAATTGGTTTCCAAACAACTGGTAAAACTTATTTTTAAAGTATATGCAGTAGTTTAGATGTACTTCTGTCTCCTTGCTTTGCTTGAAACAATCTTACCAGACAACTTTTTACATGACCCATGTTTACCAGGTGTTTAATTACAATAGTAGAACAGTTAATTAAGACATCTTTGTTTTTATATTTGACTCTGCACTCCATGTATGTATGTATGTAATATTTGCTAACAAATAAGTGATAACTTGTCTTGACTTACGTAGGGTGCCTATTTATTTTTTTATAAATATCCCCTCCTGGCTATAGATTTGTATAAGAGCCTAGACATATTTTTAACAGTAAATACATTAATAAGTCTTGTAATTAATATATTTTTCAGTCTGTAGAATTATTTTCTTGCAAAGTTCTGCTTGTTCAGATTATCAGATAAAAATATAAAATATCTTTGTCTGTATTCTTTTTGTATGCTGTGCTTTCCTTAAAAGCAAGAAGTAAACCTGCAACAATGAAACCACACCCTGGCTTTCCAGAACCACACTTCTAAGAAATGATAGCTAATAGTAATGCTTGAAAGCTTTAAAGCTGTGACCATATTTAAACAGTAAAATTCATCACCTGAAGTACTGGTTTATAGTGGGCTTTCTAATATAGTCTATATAATATACTGTACTGTATAGTATATAATATAGTACAGTTTTGCTGTACCTAGTTATAAATGAAGGTTGTCTTGATGCTGTTATTCAAGCTATGAAATAACTTGAGCTCAAAGCAGCACATGCCTGTGCTTTGATAGCTTTTATGTTTTCTGAGATACGTAAAACCTTCTCTTTCAGACTCAACTGAAAGAAAAAACTAAATCACTACATTGCGTTCTCTTAACCTAATGGCTCTTCTGTCAAAATTGTCAGGATTTATTCTCAACAGTCTTCCTTACACAGGAGAAATGAAGCAGCTTTAGTGTTTCTCTAGTAGCTTGTTCCTTTGTGATTTTACAGTGAAATCTCTGGGGGGAGGAGGGGAAACAAAAGTAAACTGACCTCTATAATAAGTTCAGTTCAGCTGTAGAAGAATAAAAAGGAAACCATTTTCCTATTTGTGGGAATCCAAGCCCTGTTCACTTTTTTTTCCCTGTGATTTTAAGCTACCGACATTTTCATAGGTCATAAACACTAGCAGTTAACGGTAACTCAGTTCTTAAAGCATCAGTCTTATTTCTGAATACACAAGTTGGATATGTAATGAAAATCAGCAATGAAGAACTGCTTAAGAATGAAAAAAAAAAAAAAAAAAAAAAAAAAAGAAAATAGAGCATGCATACCTAATTCTGTGTCCTGAATATTGTATTAAATGAAAATAAGCTCCTGTCAGGTGGTGTCAGAAAATACTGGATCAACCGAACTCAGAAATCCAGTTACATTTTATATTTCTGAAAAATCAAATTATACCTCTCAAATTATTAATAAGGTGAAAATAAAGAATAGAGATACTGAACTGCCTTCAGCCACAGTCTTCCTAAAAACCTGATTGGTCTAGCAAGCAAATTGAGCATTCAAGATGTTCACTGATGCAACATTGTTTTTGAAAGCCTCATTATAGGCAGAGAGTTAGAAATTTTTGAGGGGAGTGGGTATGTGAAACCTGGCAATTGCCTAAGGAGCTTACAAGAGCACTCTTCCTTCACTGCTTGTAGCAAAGAAATCAAAACTTGTATTACGTAAATCAGCAGGTGAAGGCAGCAGCTACTGTGCACTGGCACAGTAACTGCTGAAGCAAGAATCTTGCATGCACTCCTGTACAGAGAGAGGTAAATTTTTCAAAAGCAAGACAAATGGGCTGTTTCATCTTTTGAACAAATAAGTCAGTAACAATTTCAGTCTCTGCTGGATTTTATTCAAACAGTGCCTATTTGCATTTATATTCTTCAAGCAAATTACAAAAGCACAGTCAAGCTGTCTCCTGTCCTGAAAGGCACAATTTAGAACATGGAAAGGCAAGATACAGGCACGATCCTGAAGACCATACTTGCAATATATTGTGGGCTGTACAGCAATACAGCATGTACCCGTCTCTCCAGCTCAGGAGCTTCCTGCCTTTCCATCAATGGAAGTCTCGTTATCCACTGCTGTCTGTGCTGTGCAAGTGCTTCTCCTCCAAATGGTCCTGCTTGTGTTCCGAAGGTGCGTCCAGTGATTCCTGATCCACGAGCTCTGTGGAAAAAAGAAAGCTCTGGTTACTTTCAGAGCTGTACAGCCTTTGGGAGATGCAGCTAGCATGAAAGCTGCATCCGGTGTACTGCCCGACCTACGAAGTGAAGCGCTTTTGTCGAAAGAAGCCAAGCTGCTAGTTATTCTGAATTACATCTGCATTTACCGCTCTTTGTCCGTGAATCGGCCTCTGCTTCACGGCTCATTAACCCGAAACCTCCGTGTCGCAGCAGATTGTCCCGCGTGGCAGCAGCAGCCTGTGCGAGAGGGCGCTCAGGCGGGAGGTGACGGGCTCGACTGCGAGACGTTCGTTTCACGGCGAGCGGGACAACACGGCACTCGGTTGCCCCCCCGTTGCCGCCTGGAGGGGACCCGCCCCGCTCCGGCCTCGCCCCGACTGACCTGGGCCCGGCCCATCAGGGCAGCAGGTAGATAAATACGAAGAGCGCCACGTCGAAGAGGACGAAGAGCCACAGGTCCAGCCAGTAGGACTGCCCCGACAGGGCCAGCGGCCGCTCTTCATTCGCCGCGCTTTGCTCCTCGGGCTGCGGGCACCGCCGCACGGCCGCCTCCATCTCCTCGGCACGCAGCGGCCGCCGCGAGAGGTTCGGCGCGGTACGCGGGGCGCAGACGCTCGCTGCGCTTCCGGGTGGGCAGCCAATGGGAGCGGAGCGCACGTACCGCCGCCACGCCCCCGCGCGGGCACCGCCCTTGCCGCGTGACGCGCGGTCCGCCCCGGTGGTGGCGGTTTGCTGCTGCCCGGCGCGAGCTCGGAGTCGCCTGTGGTGTTCGCTGTGGCGGTATCTGTGGCCGCGCTATACAGCTCTGCGCCGCGCAGCGGTCGGGATACCGCAGTTGTCCACGGCTTCTCTGCCCCCTATCTGTCGGGTAGCCCTGCCGCTGAGGAGCTGGCGGGGCCCCGGGTCGGTGTGGTAAAGATAGGCTGAGAGGGAAGTCCCGCCTCCGCTGCTGCCGAGAGGAGTCATGCCTTGGGAGGCCGGCTCGGAGCCGGTGCCGTTCCCGCACTGCTCCGTAGGCTCTGCTGGTCGCGGCTCCCTGCCGGCACTCGGCGTGCCCCGTCAGGTGTGTGGAAAACAGACATCAGCCCCCGCCCGTCACGTTGGCCTTGCGTCTTAAACCACGGCAGGACTGGAGTGGGAGCGTACACAAATTCTTGTTGTGGCTTCCTGGAGGAAGCTACAGGATGAGCTCGGAAATGCTGCTGTGAAGATAGGCGGGAAAACTGGAAGCAGTTCTGAGACGCGCTTACCGTCGATAGCTAGCCGTGCTCCCTAAGAGCGCAGAAAGCCGTGCGGGTGGCTTATGCTGTGACGGGAGCTCCCAGCGCACAGAGCCGCACTGCGCTGAGACCCGACAGCTCCATCAGCATTGCAAGGGCTGCAGGCAGCTTCGCTGTGTAGAAGGGTGAGCAGACTATCTATTACGATCAATATCTGGCAGGCGGGGGAAATCCCAATTTATAAGGAAATGAGTTGCGTCATCGTCTCGAGTGGAATCCTGTTCGCGCCATGAGGGCGTGGTGCCAGCAGGGGGAGCCCTGAGCGTAGGCCAGAAAGGCTGAAGAAGTAACCGAAGGGTGAAAGGTTTTGTTTGGTTCTTTTGTTCCCAGCGAAAAGTCAAGGAGAGTGGGGCAAACTTAAAGAAGTACTTAGGAAAACAACAAAAAAAAGGCCGTTAAAATCAAAGTGTAACTGTGCCCATTAAGAAACAGAAATAAGCACGGGGCAGAGTGCTGGCCCTCAGAGGGCGTTAGGAAAAAGCACTGTTGCAGGGGGTTGAGGCTGGGTTGAATTTAGCAGCTGCAGAATAAACAGCATGAGCAGAATGTGGTGCCTGTTTGTTACCCATCAGAGGCACTGCATGTGAAGTCAGCTTAATCTGAACTCATTTTTTGTCTAGTTAAGACTCCTTGAATATTTTCATTCATGTCCTGAAAGAAAATCACTCAGAGCTGCCAGTACTTTTCTTGACAGAATGACTTTGATCCTCAATAAATGGGGACAGCTCAAGCCTGTATGCTTTCAAAGCATTGCCATAGTTTTTAAACCCAACTTATAAAATTGCAATGTGAGATATCTGTCTTTTGTCAGTAAGTGCTTGATACTGCTCCTGTTGACGTCAGCAAGGTATCAGAGATTTAAAGCAAGGTATATGCGATTTAAAACAACAAAGTGTGCTGTATTATCAGAGCATATTTTTTTATTTACTGTATATTTCTATTTTCATATAACAGTTTTTGAGACTTGCTTGTTGTCAGGGGGCTCTTAAGCTTTACCATTCTTATTACACGATACTCCATACACAAAGAAACCATTTGTCACTACAAATGTCATGGTAAGGAAGTTAAGTTGCTGTTCAAGAACCAGTGCAAAAATATTGAAGTTTTGATTATAGAAAATAGTTTTGGCAGCATTTTACAGTATGTTACTTGGGTAAGACTTCCTACAAGTAACTTTTTAGTCTTTGTTTCAAATTTTAACTGGATTTTTTTTTTTTTTTTAATCCAAGGTAAAATACTAAATGTAAACTTGTGTTTTCATTAGGGCTGAATAATCACAATATAGGAGGTGCTGTGAAGAGATTAAAAAAAAAAAAAAAGTATATGTAGAAAAATTGTCTTTTTTTTTAAATAGGATTTTGATTCCAGTGCTGTTCTGGGTAAAGTATTTACTCCTTTTTGAAGATTCTCTTGGCTTCAACTCCTTCATACACATAGGTCTGTTCAGAAATTAAGAAGAAAAATCAGTGACTGCTATTATAAAATTTCATTTCACAGGTGTTGTGGTCAGAGGTGGTTTAATTAATTATGGCAGGTGGCCATGTGGGGGCCTAAAAGCCTTTGGAAGGGCTCTGAGGAAAGGAACAGAAGGAAAGCAGCCTGTTGTCAGTAGGCATAAATTCTCTATGGAAACATTTGAACCACCACTGGACAGTTCTTTCAAAAGCAAAGCAACCAAACAAACAAAAACTCCTAAAGTGTTGAAATATTCCCAGATGTCACTTATGTGCTTGCTTTTATTAGAAATGTGAGAAAGAGTTGGCCTGTTATGTTCTAATAGCTCAGAGCTCACACCTGTCCATTGGAGGGCTATTTATTTAAGAAGTTTGTGACCAGCTGGTCAGAGAGCTATGGAAGGTTTTTCTTTTGTCTTTAGCTTCCTGCTCTGTGTCAGCTGCTGAGAATGTTATCCTTGGGAAAACTCCTGTAGCATGACTTTAGAAGGCAAAAAAGGGCCTTCAGGGAGTATGCATATGGCTTCTACATACAGCTTGTATTCACAGACTTTAGACTTGTTGATAAGATACAGCTCACCCAGGTAGGAAATCACACGTTGCCAGTTTTATGTTCTGAATTCCAAAGCTCTAGCTTTTAATACTTTTAGTAGATTTGAGAATTTTATCTGAAGATAAGCAAGGTTATTTGGTTTGCGAAAAACGTTCTGGACTTTCAGGATATCTCTGAGAATGTTTCCAGTTATTGTATTCCCACATTGTGTCTAAGCGACTGCTCAACTCACCTGGACGAGTTCACTGCCTACAATTTCTCTATATGCTGTGAGTACTTTTCCATTATCTTTTCTAGTAAATGTTCCTACGAGTTTATTTCCTTCCAAGTTCCAAGAACCCTACAATGGAAAAAAAAATAAAATAAAATAACAACCCACAAATGTTTTGCAATAAACATGGCACTGATTTGATTCAACAGCTGCAGAAGTGCTTTAAGATGAGATTAAAACAGTGTAATAATGTTTTTTAGGACACAATTGGAAAGACTATAAAAAATTAAATATTAGAAAAAAGCTTATTTAACTGCTCTTTGGTCAGGCTTAGGTGATCTCTTTCTCTGTTGGTATGGTTCATTTCTTACAGATACCCACACTGTGCTCTAGATGGTGTACTTGTATTATTTGTATTATTTATTATATTGGTTATTGTAAGAAGTGAAGTTTGCAATTGCCTGGATTTCAGTGTGTGAAAATTGCTGGATGCTCTGCTTACTGGGGCACTGTATGGATCCCTGAGCTTCCTGTCGCAATGCTGAACCATTAACAGTTAAAGCTAATCTGTGATTCTGTATATAGGGTGCAAGCGTTCCTGGACTGTCAGACCTTAAAGCCAAGTTTAAACTGGAACTTAGGAAGACAGGTCATTAATCTTGAAACTGTACTTTGTAAAGTTATTGCTATTCAATGAATATATAATGATATCAAAAGTCTCTTACTGAAAGTTCAGTCCCATCAGCCAGACTGTATTCAAAGTTGACTCCCAGAGTGAATTCAACGTCGATGGTACGGAAGTTGCTTGATTCTTTGACAAGAAATTTATTTCCGTTTTGCTGAATTGTGATCTTCAGATTATCATGGGCTCCTAACTTTCTTTTCACCATGTTAACACCTAAAAAAAAATCAGTTAACATCAATCAGAGAAAAACAAATTAGAACATCATTTTTGCATTTTTTTCATGACTTTTTCTTTAGTTGAGGGAGCTTAGCCCAGAATTCTAACTCAATCTTACTCTTCTCCACCTTTCATTGAGGCAGTGTTCAGCAGTACACATGTAATACAAACCAGCATCCAACTAGGATGATTTTATATCCATATTACACACAGTTTGTACAAGCTTAAAATAAGCACTAACATGTTAAAATTACTCAAATCACGTGTTCTGCAAAACTGGAGACCAACAATTTCCTTCTTGTGTAATTTGTCAAACAGTCTGATCAAAATAATATTCCTTACATATAATTCCGTTTAAAGTTTACCATTCAAATTCTCTGAGCCTTTTCCACAAATGTGGACGTGGAGATTCTGCTGAAATGCATCTACTGGAATTAGCTAAATGCATAAGATTATTGCAATGCAAATAAAATCAGTGTTTTTCTACCCTGTATTCCCCTCTATAGAATCTTTTGAAAATAAATGCAGGGCAACGTGCAAGGGCAAAGTAGCAGACAGCAAAGGCCAGGTCAGCCAGATGGTAGTTCATGAACAGCTTAAGTTTGTATTCCAGCTTTCAAAAAGTAAGGCTTACCCATCGCTTCCATGAATTTTTCATAGTTTTCATTTTTCTCTACTTTCCAAGTACCATTAAATGCCATCTTTCTGTCTATAGGCAGACTTCTGGTAAATAGCAGAGCTTTGCAAACAGAATTTATGGGCTGGCTTATCAGGAAAGCAATTTACATGATGATGTGGCTGGCTAAAGCTCAACTGTGGCATTGATCCTGTCAAGGAGGGGGTCACTGTAGTTTCACTAAGTTTTCCACTTGTAAGCAACTGTTTGCTGAATCTCTCTCTCTTTTATTGCCCCAAATGATGATCTTTATTACTCTTCTTTATAAATAACCACCCATTGTGTTCATCTTATTTGAATTGTAGTAAAAGATTGGCTATCTAGTGAAAGTAATAATTAGACTAAGCAAATGTATTAACATTTCCTTTGTTGCGTAAGACTTTATGTTGGTGGAAGAGTTTTTCTACAACTGGAGAAAATGCATTTACCTAACAAGCCAAACACAAATCTCTGCTTTGTCTGTTCTACTCTGGTGAGAATCTATTGTACTGCACGTAATAAACGTGAGATGAAGGATTTACTGAATGTCCACAGGTAGTTTTGGAAACTCGCTTCACTTTCAGAAACAATTTGCTACCTTCTAGTCCAGGGCTGAGCTGTGGAAATTGCAGTGATATTCTCTATTCATGTCCCCACTCTTTAATAGGTAGTTTAAATTCAGGGCACTTTCTACACATTCTCTATATTGTAGCCCATTCAGTGGATGCTCTGCTTCTGTCCATTTCTACAATAGATGATGTGCTGCTAAGTGATTTTTACCCAATGTGGTTGATTTCTGTAGATCCCAGGTTTAAATGTTGAAGGATAGTGCAGAAAATGAGCACACTCTGACTTAGCTCTTTCTTCCCCACAAGGTAGCTCTACTTGAAACTGACCAAGTTTGCTGGTATTAAATCTGTTTGTACCAAATTCAGGATTATAGTTAGTCTGTTCCTATGGATGGCACTAGATCTGCTGTCTGTTGCCTTTAAAATGTAAATCCTGAATGCTGAAATGAATTTTGCTCATCACACAAGTAATGGGGTTGTGCTCTAACTAATGAATTTTACTAGTCTGGTGTTACGATAATTTTCTTTTTCTTCTAGACCGCAGCAAAAGGTTTTATTGAAGTGTAACTATAAATTTAGAACTTTGCTAGTGATACCAAAATGGTGTGGCTTTCCATTCCACTCAGGTTTGTTTTGAAATCAATGCTAATCTGGCTAACAGCATATAGGAAGAAGTAACTCAATAGCTACTCCTCACCTTTACTGTACAGAAGTTAAGGAAAGAGGAAAAGAAAACAACTCAGATTCTTATTGTTGCAAACAAAGTTGCTATAGTTGCACCC